CACACGCTGGGTGCTGACCAGCATGGGCCAGAACATCACGAAGGCGCGCCTGGTCGCGCAGGGTTGCCAGGAGGACAAGTCGCAGATCAGGGCGGACGCGCCTGCAGGGCCCAGGGGCGCGCTGTGCCTGACCCTAGCTGCCGCGGCCCAGATGGACTGGGACATCTCGTCCTACGACGCTATGACGGCCTACCTGCAGTCGTGTAGCATTAAGAGGCCACTGCTCCTGCGCATGCCGGCCAAGAACCCGCCGCCGGGGACTCAGCCTGGCGAGATCGTGATGGCCGCAGGCGCGATCTAGGGGGCGCGCGACGCCGGGGGGCAGTGGCACCTCTACGCGCAGAAGGTCTTCGCCGAGCACGGCCGCGTGGAGAGCAAGCTCGAGAAGGGCCTCTACTACTTCTACGACGAGGGTGGGCTCGCCGCGGTGGCCCACTCACATGCGGACGATGTCCTTATCGCCCAGCGCAACAACTCCAACAAGTGGAAGACCACGATCGCATCGCTGGGGAAGAAGCTGCACCTCAGGGCAGTCGAAGGGGTCATCAAGTACTGCGGATGTACGATTACCAAGCTCGACGACCCAGGCCACCGCTGCCGCGCAGGTGGACTACGTCGGCTTGAAGGCCCAGAAGGGCCGAAGTGCTGAGGGCCGGCTCACCTTCCACACGCTCGGGCTCCACGTGCTGAGGTGACGAGCTACCGCCGCGCGCTCGGGCCGCTGTTGTGGCTAGCAGTGCAGACCCGGGTGGACATAGCCTGCCCGGTTAGCTTCGCAGATCGACGCGCCAACGTCGCTACCGTGGCCGACGCGAAGACGCTCAACAATACAGTCGCATATGTGCTTTCCACCGCGAACTTCGCGATCGTGCTCAAGCGCAGGCTCGTCGACCTGAAGACGACCATCACCGCGTGCTTCAGCGACGCCGCGTTCGCCAACGTGGGCGGCGTCAAGAGTCAGTGGGGCATGGTGATGGGGCTCGCCCATCGCCCGCGTGACGTCGTCGGCGGCCGGTGCGACCTGTGCGTGCCCGTCGCCTGGCACTCTGGCACAGTCAAGAAGTCGACCCTCGCTGCCGAGGGCGACGCTACCCTCGAGGGGTCGGAGACCAACATGTGGTTCCGACAGCTGCTGACCGAGGCCTACAACCCCAAGACGGCGCTCAAGCAGATCGACGTGCTCGCCGACAAGCGCCCTGGGGATATCTACAGCGACAGCAAGGGTCTCGCGACGCACACCGCATCGTCGCCTCCATGATCAAGGAGGCCGTGCACCTCAACAGTGCGCTCAAGCTCAGCTGGATCCCGACCTAGGCCATGGTCGCGGACGCCTTGACGAAGACGATGGAGGCGGGCGTCCTGCTGTCGTTATTCGGGGCTTAAACACACACCTATGAGACCCGGCAGCCACGCGCTGCCATGCTCGCATCAGTCCTGTCCACTTGCCTCGGCTTTCAAGGGACAGCCTGCGCCCACGCCGACTACCGCAGCTTCTACATTTGCCAGCTGACTCTCGCTCTGGTCCTCGGCATGACTATCGGTTTCGGCATCTCCATGACGCTCTGGACGATCCTGAAGCAGAACAACGCGATCGCCAACGAGGAGAGCGCCGCCGAGGCGAAGGCCATGGGCGAGCACCCTAGCTGGGACGGCCGCGTGCTCGGCCGACGCCGCAACATACCACCAACGATTCCAGAGGATCGTGATCACGACGGTGACATCACGATGTCCCACGCGGACGTGATCAGCAGCGCACAGGCATCAAGTTCAGTAGCGTCGGCTTCGGTTCAGCCGCCGCCGCCGCCGCAGGTACCGACAGAACCACCGCCAGCCAGCGCGCCGCCATCACTGTACTCTGCAGCAGCAGCACGGGGATCTGGACGATCCAGATCAGTAAAGTCGCAGGGAAGTTCGGCCCCTGCATCACCAGCCGTGGTTTCCGTGACGAGTTCATCGAGCTCCGTTTCAGCCTCATCAGCCAGTATTTTGTCGTGGAGCGGATCCTCCCCGACGGCGCAGCCGAATGACATGCTCAGTTGCGTGACTGGCTTTTCTCATCATGATGTGGTCATCGGCCACAACCCGCATAGTGTGTACACCACTTGCAAGACCTGCAAGAAACACGCTTCGTGGCTGCTTCGGCATAATCATGTTGGAAATCCCGATTTCACTATCTTCCCGGAGAGTGCGACGGATGACCTCAAGGGCCGCTGGTGGAAGCTCACAGGCAGAGATGTTTGGCGGGGGTTCGATTTTGCGGACAAGCCGGCGAAGCCGAAGAACAAGTGAACCCCACTTGGTTTGACAGCAGTTTGGCCGATCGGACCGGAAATGTTCTACCGCCCATACTATACGCCCGGTCAAGATTTATGTATTCCGCATCGTTGCCAACATACCATACGCCCGGTCAAGATTTACGTTTTCCGACTCGCTGTTTTTTCATTCGGATAAAGATCCACACGTAACCCCGCGTTTTTTTCTTCGAGAAGCTTCATTCGTTTCAGTGCGCACAGTTTTGGTTGTGATGACGGTCGCACCCGCGCAGTATCCTGAGAAAATGGCTATATGTTTTGGGTTCTGTCGCATCGCGATCGAACCCTGGCCATTGCTGAGTATACCTTGTATGCTATACAATGCAATCCGTTTGCTTGCTTATCTCCGGGTTTTCTTTTTGCCGGCGAGTGACTTGTTTGCTTAGTCCCTCCTCTGACGCCGGAGACGGAGATCCGAGCATGTCCTACGAGGAGCGTGAATCAAGCTCACCCCCCAGGAATGCAAGAGGCCCGAGAGGGTTTCCCCAGAAACCTCGAGGGGCCTGCGGTTTCATCCCTTGCTCGCGGTTGCCATTTCTATTTTTCTGGGCCTTGGCCTAAGTGCTGCTACGCAGATCGCTCGAGCCGCGTTCGCTTTCGCCCAAAGATCCGCGCCGCGCGCGCACCCATATCACACAATGAACCCCCAACCCTCACGATTCATAACACTATGAAGACGTGGCCTCACTGAGGGCCTCTTCCTTGCATTGGTGATAGTAACTATGGGCGGTTTGGTTTGGTACATCTGCAGCAAAGACCCCTTGTCCCTGATGTTTGTTTGCCTTCCTAGCGTAGGTCCCCTCCCAAAAGGTTAGGGGTCCTCTGTTGATTAATATGTGGAGGCGCCGCGTTGAGCAAATCAAGCTCTTGAAGGGTATCGTTCTGACTCTCACGTGTAACGGTATGTCTTATGTGGCGAGCGATGACGCGACCTCCGAATCTTGGCATCGCTCGGACGTGTGCGCTGCATGTTCTAGGCGAGGAGAATCGAGGAGCACCTTGCTTGCGAAAAACGAAACTCACGAAACCGATTAATGCATGGGGAATGGAAGTCCGAGCGATGGCAAGGAGTGACGCTACCCTCGTCCGCGCCTTCGCTGCCAGTCCAGGGCGAGTCCGCCCGCGCTCTGGCAGCGCGCCGTTTTCCCTTCTGTGGGGTCGGCCCTCGGACTGCTTAGAGCGAGGGTGAGTCTGGTCCCCAGACGTCCAAAGTCCAGACTGTTCTCACAGTTCGTCAGGGACGCGCGTCTCTTCTAGAGGAGGACATGATACAGATACCGCTAACGTTCACTCGTTCTCGCCATTTTTGGACCTCCCGGGAGGCCCTCGTCGTCACCGGTGGACCCACGTCGAAATCCTGGTGAGAACGCACCCTGGAAGAGGTCTGTGGAGACGCGGCATCGGCACCTCTTGGTTTCCCCACTTCGGTCTTCCTGGGACGCAGACGGGGCACAGAGTACCTCTCACAGTTCACGAGGGGCACAGGTTGGAACCCATCCTCCTCTTTGGCGCGCCGTTGCGAGGGTTTCTCGTCCTGCTCTTTCGAGCTCCGCGAGACGTGGTGCGAGCTCCGATGCCACCTGCGTGCTGCACCCCGCAAGGGCAACGTCGGCGTCCAGAGCTGGTGTCGGAACGATTCTCTCCTAGGGCAACCACGAGGGTGCGAAGTTGGTCTCTCTTCCTCTCTCTCTCTCTCTGCTTTGCTGTTTTTTCTTTTTTCTCTTTCTCTCTCTCTCTCTCTGTCTCTCTCTCGCTGTCTGTCTATCTCTCTCTCTCTCTCTGTCAGTCTCTCCCGCTCCCTCCGCCTTCCTCCCTCCTCTCTCATCCTGCTCCTCCCTCATTATCCTACTCCCTCCTCTCCCCTCCCTCCTCCCTCTTGCCTCCACAACCTTCTCCTTTTCAGTCTTCCACCTCGACGACGTCGACGTGGGCGAAAACTTCCTCCTGTTGAACCTGTCCAGGGGTGCGTTCCGGCTTGAATTTCGATGTGGATCCAGCCGTGCCGACGAGGGCGCCTCCACCACGTCTGAAACCTTGATCCTCGATCGTCGTCGTCATCGTCCTCGTCCTCGCAGTCGTCGGCGGCGTCGGCGGCGGCGGCGTCGGCGCCAGCGCCGGCGCCAGCGCCGTCGTCGTCGTCGTCGTCGTCGTCGTCGTCGTCGTCGTCGTCGCCGTCGTCGTCGTCGCCGGCGCCGGCGTCGTCGTCGTCGTTATCGACGGACCCCCGGACCTCTCCCTGAGTGCTGGTTGGCCCGAGCTTCGAGTGCGTCCGGGGAGGCCCGAAAACGCCACGAAACTCTGATCCTTTATCTTCGATCTCTGAATCTCGATCCTCCATCCTCCATTCGGCGGCGAGGCCGGGGGAGAAATCAGAGGGAGACGGCCTTCTCAGAGGCGGCGGTGCTTCCCAGAAGCCCTCGCGCCTCCTGAGAAGTTCTCTGTGTCTCTGGGGGAGGCTTAGAAATCTCCGCAGAAGGCTAGGGGTCTTTCGAGCCTCCTGAGAAGGCCGACCCCCTCTGATGTCCCCCCTGGGCTCGCCGCCGAACGACGACGGCGAAACGACGACGACTACTACGACGACAACGATGACGACGAAGACGACTACGAAGACGACGGCTTCCCCTCCGGGCTCGCCGCCGATCCGTCCTCGACGACGGCGACGGCAACGACGGCGGCGGCGGCTGGCAGGCCACCCCGCCTCCGCCGCCCGGGCTGGACGTCCCAGCGGCCCCGCTGGCTGGGCTGCGCGCCATCGAGGAGCCGAATCCCGCGGAGGAGCGCGCGTTCTCTCCGCGCCTCTTTGAAGGGGCCCAGGGACACAAATAGATAGACACGAATCACCGGATTCCGATATTTTCCGCATTTCCTGGGTGTTCGTCTCCCCCTTGACTACCTGTGTTTGCTTATTTCCTCATGAGTCGACCGCGTGTTTCTTCGCCTGACCTTCCGTCTTGTGCCTTCTCTTCTTCTTGTGCTTGCGTGCTTATTTCTCCTGACCTTCCTTCTTTCGAGGTGGGGATTTCTACATACCCACCGCCTGGAGGATCGATTTCCTCGGACGCCCACAGGCGGTGGACATGCATATGTTCGGCCACCCTGGGGCCCAAATATACCCACATCCGCCGCCCGCTGGGTTCCCAGGACGCTGGTTCCCCGCCCCGCACTCCTGCAGCTGGCGGTGGGTTCGTGCCGTGTCGACCGGCGGCGACTTCCCCAGCACGGGCGCTCAAGGTGGAACGCCGCCGGCGACATTGAGGCGTTCACGTTGACCGGTCTGACGTGTCGGAAACTTCCGAGTTTCCGTTGGATCGATCCCCGCGAGGTCAGGGATCAAATTTTGGGGTCGTCACGGCGCGAGCCTGCCGCCGGTGGAGGGTGCGGGGCCGGTCTCGGGGCGCTCTGCTCGGGGCCTCGGGGGTCCCAGACGCCTCCGAGAGGGCCCCAAGACGGCCCAAGGAGGCCCCCTTATAGGGCCCAGACACAACCCAAGAGGGCCCGAAGGTGGCCCCAGAAGCACCCAGGACGGCCCGAAGACGGCCCAAGAGACCCCCGAGGCGTCCCTTGAGGGCCCCGAGACGGTCCGAAGAGGGAGTCGGCGGGCCTGGAAGATCCTAAGTCGGGCCATACAGCGAGATGCACGAGTGATGCAGATGGTGAGGCCGTGCTCGATCCCCGGCCTGCGTGAGTTGTGCTGTTGCGGGGTCGAGCATGCCCTTGTCCAAGGTCTCCGCGTCTTGCTTGCAGACGTTTCCAAACACGCAACCCGCGACCGCGATCGTTGGAGTCGTGGGTTGTTGATGAGGATGCGAGTGCGTGGCGTTGTGCGTCCGAAGGTTAGAACAAACGATACCACTACCAGCGTGTCACTTCGGGTCGGAAAGGCGCGATGCCTCTCCGAATTTGATAATGTGGGTTTCTGTAGCGGGGCACCGCAGAAGGGAGGACCACAGCATCAGGAAGACCCCCTCTTGGCTCTTGCCCCAGGTGGCGGAGCCGTCTCCCGGGCCCCTATGTGTGAAATATTATCAGCAGGATGTAGATTTACTGGTTGACACATCCCGTTTGCACTTGTTGATTCGATTGTGGTCCAGGTTGGCGGCGGAGCAAGACGTTGTGTGTGTGTGTGTGTCGTCTTTGTCGTGTGCGGGGTACGCATGGTGTACTGTGTGAGGTGTGTATGCTTTTTCTCTGTACGGCGCATGGCGTGCTGCGGTCTGAAGTGGTTCTGGCAATGCTAGAATGCTACATTCTGAAGGCTGGGTTTTAGCTGTGATATGTTGCTGGTGATGCTAAAGCGATTGTGATCCAGTGGCATGGCCGAGGCGGCGCAGTGCGATCCAGTCCAATGCTGTGTTTTATGGCACATTACACGCGCACGCTTTACTGTCCATCTCCATACTGCGCCACGCCGTACTTCCTCTTGCCTTATCCAATGCTCAACAGCCCCGGCGCGGTTCCTGGAGCTGGGAGTTGTCGTGGGGGAGGGGTGTGTGAAATAGTGAACGGTGCGTTGTATGGATATCATGCTTTGTGGCCCAGATAGAGCGTCAAGCAGTGTCCGAGCGCGAGTGGAGTGGGCCCTTGAAGATGCGGCGATGATTGATGCCAAGATGTTACTCCCCTAACCCGAAGAACACAATGAAGGCGCAGCCTAACTTAGGTCCGCGTGCTTGCATTAGGGCTGATGAGTCTGGGTGTTTGGGTTTGATACACCTGCAGAGGGAACCCCTATCCCGAATGTTTTGGGCCTCTTAGCTTGGGCCCGCTCCCAAAGAGATGGGGGGTACTCTTATTGCTTACCAGCTGATGCAAAGATTGCACGCCCCGTGCCTCACTTGCACCAGCGGCCGGCTTCGTGGACAGCTCTTGCGGCCTCCGTGCGGCCCAGGCTGTTCCCCAGGAGGAGGTGCTCGGCCGCCCCTTCGAGCCCTGGTTCGTGAGCCTGCCCAAAGGGACCCGCAAGAGGACAGCGCCCCCCGCATTTGTGGGAGGGGGAGGAGGACGATGATGTGGATGAGGGTTGTGGATGATGCGGATGATGTGGATGTGGATGTGAACGGTCTTGATGATGGTCGTGGTGTTGATGGTGGTTGTGATGATGGTGATGGTGATGAGGGAAAGGTCCTTTCGTTGATCGACGACCTCCGTCTTCGTCGATCGACTGCCTCTTCTGGGGACCCCCTCGGGGTCGGATCGAGCTCACGCTGCCGCGCGGATCTTTCTGCGCGCCGATGGGATCATCGGCCGCCCGGCTCGCGAGGCAATTGTGGCGTGGTCGACAGGTGGAGGAGTTTTTCTAAGGTGTCGGATGTTCGGAGGTACTCCTTGGGGTTCTGCGCGGCCGCTTCGTTTCGGGACCCAGGACCGCTGCACATCCCAGGACGGACCTTGGGAAAGGAGTCCCGGGACCAAGTTTGAAATCATGTCTTCCCTGCCCAGGAGGAGGAGGATGAGGAGGAGGAGGAGAAGGAGAAGAAGTAAGAGGAGGAGGAGGATCGGGATCAGGAAGCGTAAAGAGGACCAGACGAAGCTGGATGATGGAGGCTCTCAGGTCTTCCTCGATTGTTTCGTGGGCTTCTGGGCCCTTTTGGGGGGTGTTCCGAGGTCCTCAATCTGTTTCTCAGAGATCTTCGGAGGTGAGTCTGGGAGGGGGGAGGGCATGGAGGAAGACGAACGGGGGGATGAGGAACAGGAGCATTGATAGGGGGGGACTAGGGGGGAAGGAGGGGGAGGGGAGACGAGAAGGGGGAGGTGGAGGGAGGGAGGGAGAGACGCACGTAGGGCGTAGGAGGAGGTGTGGGGAAGAGCAGACAGGTCGGGGGATGAGGGGTGAGGGGGAGGAGGAGGAGCGAGCCAAATGCTCTCCATAGTCAGCGAAACTAACCAGGGAGTCACGAGAATCAAGAGCGGCCACCCTCGCCGCGGGGTGTGTCACCGCTTAGGGGAATACCCGTGCGCGGGCGACGCCCAGCTTTGAGATGTTTCAGGGTTGTTGTATTGAGGCGGCTCATCTTCCAGTTGACTGGGCCAGTCCAGGTCTCCATCAACACGGGAGAGTGCCTGGTGGAGGTTGACCCACCTGTTGCTAAGACATCACACAGGGGGGCTCATGGTGGCAAGATGACGTCCACGCATAAGTTCGTAGGAAGCCTCATGGGCGATACTAGACATCTTTGGCCCCTGAGGTGACTGATCGGCACTCGGCAGTCTAGTCAGAGTGCCGCTAGCATACACAGCCCTCTTTCCAGCCGTGGCAATGGCACCCCCGTGGATGCCGCAGTGTCCGTAGGCGCCCCAGACTGGCCGCTAGCGGGGATCGGACCCCTAGCGGTCTCCGCAGACCCGGCGGGCGACGAGGCAGGAGTCCAGGGTCTCGCGCCTTCAGGATGGCCAACCTCAGGCCACAGGAAGCGGTCGGCCGCTCGGATAACGATGGCGACAGCCTCTGAGGACGAGAATGGGAGGGAGGCGCTCGCCAAGCCTCCGCAGCGCGGCCTCATTCGAAGCCCGCGCCGTGCACTGCGTACAGATCCAGCCCTGGCCGTCCTTACGATCTCGTGCCTGTTCTCGACCAGCTGCGCATGGCCACGAGCAACCGGCACACGTCGCGTAGCAGGGATCAGCTCCTCGAACTCATCAGAGAGGCAGCCCGCCGCCGCCATCATCCAGGACAGAAGCTTGGCCTCGACCTTGGCACCGCTCACCTTGACGTTGAACAGGTCCAGTTGCGTCGAAGGCAGCCAGTTGCACAGTTCGCCAATTTTGGCGAAGAACTCCGCCCACAGATTGTTGCTGGCCTTCGCGGCCTAAATAGTCCAGCGCGTCAAGGTGGCAGGACACCATGAGGCATGTGGCCGTTCACGGTCACGCGTGACTTGAACTATCATCTTCCAGATGTCAGCATACTGGCCACGAGAGGAGGCCAACTCAGGATCCCAGCCACAGATCTCGTTAGCCAGGGCTGCCAGATCTCTGACCACGAAACTCAGGTAGTCTATGCGGCGAAGAGCCTGGAGAAACGCCCAGCGCTCCGCTCTGTCGACCGTCTTCCGTCGGCCTGGCAGTGCGCCGAACACTGCTCTGACGGGCACATCGTCCGCGCTGAGCTGGACGCAGGCGCAGCAGCACCTGCACAGCTTAGGCCAGGAGGCTTCATAGCCCGAGCCGTCATGGTAGACCACCGTGGACTTGGTGCCGACGTCCGTGGTCCAATCCTCTCACCAGCAGAGCTCGGCGGTGGGCTCCGCCCCGGGCACCGCGTAGGGCAGCATGGGGAAGCCAACCGCGATATCGAAGTGGTCGTAGTCGGTGTCGCCCGCACCGATGCCGCAACGTTTTGTCATCCTGTGGCGCACCTGGAGCAGGCCCTCGTCCAGCTGCTCGATGGTGACGCCTTCGTCATGGCCGACGTTGGGCACTTTCGGGCATTCATACAAGTAGTGGCCCTTAGTCTAATCGTGCTGGCCGGGACAGAAAGGGCACCACGGACTGGGCAAGTAGCCCTTGGCGTGACGTTTCACCGCGCCCCATGATTGCGCAGCTGGCCAGCTCGCGATTCGCGAAGTATGGCCCGTTGTGATTCCAATACGCGTCGCATAGCCCTTAGCCACAGCTTGGCATTGGGCGGAAGACCGGGCTCGTCATGGTGCAGGAGGATCTGCCCTGCTAGCGCTGGATGTCTTCACGAGCCAGCTGGAGCATCTCTTTCGGATTGATGACGTGGAGCAGCTCGATGAGGGCCTCTGTGTCGGAGACCAGAACCGGGCTGGAGTGCATATTCAAACTTATCAGCAGCAGACTCGAACACATAGCTGAAAGTGGCCATCTAGCTCCGCGCCAGGTGGGTTTAGCATCTGCCCGAGCCTGTTCTAGGGCTCGCCACGCCCTCTGCAATCTAGCCAGCTGCAGCCGGCCATCCCTGACCGCCGCGCAGTACCGCGACACTGGTGCCAAGGTGGTGTCGAAGATGTGGTCCATGTATGGGGTCCTTCTGAGTGGCCATGGGGAGCGTGCAGGTGCTGGAGTCCGTGCCAACGCCAAATCCCCCTCTGCACAGGAGCACGGCCATGTGGCGAGGTGCTGCTCATCCGTCGTGCCCGACACAGCCAGTCCATGGGCAGCAGAGGGTAGCATCTACTTCGGGGAGCCGCGATGCGCGCACCACGCGCTTGGAGATCATTGATGCGGTTTTTGGCCACCGTACGGGTGCCGCCCTTGCCATGGGCGTCGTGGTCCAGGTCCCGCGTGTGAAGTCGCTGCGGTAGCCCAAGGGCTTGCGCGGCCGTGTGGAAGCCGCGCTGCGCTGCCTTTGCGGCTGGAAGCCAGCCTGATTCCGCCACCTTCTCCTCGAGTCCGAGGGGGGCTACATCAGCATTGAAGTCCTGGGCCAGCCTATGCAGCACAAGTGCCCCTCTTCCGATCGTCTCCCCGATCCACTGAATGGATGGGGCCTGGACGCGACGTCAATTTTATCGTCCCTCAGCTTGGTGGCGGCGCGGATGAGCAGCGCAGTGAGGATCGCCGAATTGTGATTGCAACCAGCCAGGATTCTTTGGGTGGTCCAAATAGGTCGTGACCAGCAGCCATGGGCACGCATTTCGGCAGTTTGAGGTTGGTCAGCAGTTGCCGCGCCAGTCGCATTGGACATTCTTCCAGCCGCCGGGTTTCTGCCAGCGAGCAGTTGACCAACGCTAGCGAACGCCCCGTGGAGATCCAGAACGACGGACATGTCTCGTTTGCTTCCGAGCAGGTGTGTTATCTCAGCCGGGACGTCATGGCTGTAGGCCGAGTCGACGGACGACGCGCTTCTGCGCAGTCCAACGATGGATTCGTGCGTGCGCTGGCTGATCCACTCGCGCGACAGTGGCCGTCTCGCTCTGGCCCGAGCACGAAGGAACGATGGCGGGAGGGCGATGTGCCCGGCGCCATCAGAAGTCTCGGGGGGGCGCGCCATGACGCTGCTTTTTCGTTCGGGGATGGGGGGGGGGGGGCAGCGTTGCGAGGTCTCCCACTGCGCGAACACGAGCGCAAGCGTCTGCAGGGCCACGTCAGAGATTTGCCAGAGGGCCATCGGGCGCAGCGCCGCCCTCCAGCCGATGGCGCGGATGGCCCGACGCAGCTGCTGCCCATCAAGCGGGGGAAGCTCGACCCATTCATGGGCATCGCCAGGTAGCTGCGCCCGTGAAGCCACGTGGCGCGACCACAGCTGCTCCCGCTCGTCCATGGCCACGTCGGCGAGGACGTATGGGGCGCACCTGGGGCGCGGGCCTGATGAGCTTGAGCCGCCGCTGGAGCTCGGTGACCCTGTGCTCGGCGCTCGCCCCATTGCTGCAAGCGTCGTCGACCCACCTGCGCCGCTGCTTGGCCGTTGCGCAGTCACGCAGGGCCTGGAGGCCCCAGCGCCTCTTGACCACGGCGGCCACGCGCTGCTCCAAGGCCGGGTGGGCGACTAGGTCCAAGCCGTTGTTGGGGGGCTCCGCCGCATCGCTCGGAACCTCTTGCCGCGCGTGCTTGCCCTTGAGAACGCGCTCGTACAGGGAGATGCGCGCCGCGAGATTCCTGGCCGCACACATCAATGCGACTTGCGGGTTCCTTGGCCACGCGGCCGACCTGCTTGGCCAGGCGGGCCCTGGCCTCGAGCAGGCGCTTGGCCCAGCGCGCGACAGACGTCCTGGCAAGTAGCTCCTTCGATGATCATAGGTCATAGGCGCTTATCAGGTGGCTGCAAGTGGGCGCGCGCCCACTTGGCCTCTAGCCTGCCGGCTCTGCCCTCGCAGCGCCAGCGCGCGGCATCACATGTGCGCCCATGGCGATCAAGACGCTCGGCCCCAAGCCTGCAGGCTGCAGCGAGCACCTTATCCCAGCAGACCCGCAGATCTCTGTCGCTTTGGGCCTCCACGATGGCCCGCTGCAGTTCGTCCAGGAGCTGCGCTGGCGGCGGCCTGGAACGGCCGCGCTGGACTTCAGGCGCG